TTCTATCGATCGAGTAGGAGGCTCTTCGCCTTTCGTGTTTGAAAGTAGTTTAGTCTGGTCGATCCTAGCTACGTACTTATATTATACTACTATATATAACAGGCTAACGGTGTGGCCTGTCGCGACTCGGAGCCCGGTGGGTGGGTGGCTGGACGAGTCGGACTGCCCGGCGGCCCGGCCGTATCGGAGGCGGGGGCAAAGCTACGCGTCGTCAACCGTCAGATGTATAGCTATCCAGACGTTGTTCTCGTCATCGCAACAATGATAGTGTTGCAGAAATACTTTACCATAAATACTATGTTGCAGAAATCATTTGCAACATAGATGATGTTGTAGATTTTTTTCCTTCATTATTTTTTGCAACATGGGTGCTGTTGCGGGAAAAATTTGCAACACAAACAATGTTGCAGAGAATATTTGAGTTTTTTTCATCTTTATCTTTTGCAACATGACTGTTGTTGCGGAAAAAAAATTTGCAACACACATAATGTTACAGAAGAGAGACACAAGGGACACGCATACCCGCGTCACACAGAGAAGACGGCACATCACTCGCATGCGATCCACCGGCTGAAGGTAAGCATTTCCCAAATAAAAAATACATCTATAGGTCGTATCAAATAGTGGTCGATCGGGGCCTGCGCTAGCTAGCTCAAACCGAAATGTGGCCTAGCTCTTGCTCTATGTTTTCTGACAGAAACGCAGCACTGCTACAAGGGAAGAAAACGGACGAAATTTCCAAAATTTCAAAGGTGAACGAAATATTTGTGGTACGTGCTGGAAAATTTTGCATTTTTGATTAATCTATTCCACGAGTAGATAATAAATATGACAATCATAGTATGAAACTCATACCGATACCCAAACATGTGAGCATGTATAGTACATAGAACCGAAACATCTATGAACACAATATATACGGCTAGCACATGAACGGGCAAATAGGGGACTGACAAGTCATACCCTCTGGTTGGCTAGGCCAACGCGGTGGCAGTAGTATCCTCAGCGTCGTCCATGGCCTCTTTCTTGGCGGCTTCATCGTCGGCCATGGGGTCAATGCAATGGAAGTAGTCGAAGCACGTGAGGACTGAGACGGAGACATATAAGGAGCAGTCGTGCGGAGAGGCTCCCCAAAACCTTATTGCCCTTCTCTCGGGCAAGATCTCAAAGGACGGGGTTCCGAAGGCAGCTGCTCTCCGACGAACCATGCACATGGTGGCCGGGTTGGGATCGCCGAAGGCGGCACAGTGAGAGGAACAGTAGATAACAGTTAGGGTTGCGCGAGGAGGGAACAAGTGTGTGTTTTGGCCGCACTAGCCAACTCTATGAAGAGCCCACGGTCTAACGTCTCGGACGGTGACACTTCAATTAGTGACTCGTTAATTAATTTGAGATTAATTTACCATTCCCAACCGGCGAAAATAAAGCGCATACATGTGAGCTGGTCTCATTCTCGCAAACTGCGGCGCACGTGCATCGTGACGAGGCGAGGCGGGCATGTGTGGGGAATTTTTCCCATTGAAACTTTTTACTTTTTGATAGTATGTTGGTATATTAGGTCTGCACATGACATGATAATTCCAATTTAGAGTTTTCATATGTCAGTACTAAAACATGATATTAGGTGTGCGCATTGCATGCATATGTTGGTTTTATTCATTTCTGTTTTGGTACATACATTCCTGATGGCTCCATGCCTCCCTGCCAGCTACATCTCTGCTTTCTTAAATTGAAGAGAAGAAAAAAAAACACCCAGGATGCTACAGTCCACTTTTTTTATGTTAATACAAATACAATGGTTACATGCTTGCTTAAATTGAAGAGAAGATAGAAACACTAAGTGTTAGCTAGTTGCTTTTGATTCAGTCTGTGAGTAGTGAAATGATTCTCTTATCAAGTGCTTGTGTGTAAAGCAAAATCAATCTTGCTCTTATCTTCCGTCTCAAGACACTCAAAGTTCAAACAAACTTGTCATCAAGTTAGATGTTTGTTTGCTCATTTTACTTATGCTCTATACATATGTGATTCCTCCCATGCTTCCTGCTACAATTGAGAGAAAAATATTGAGGAAGCAATGAGTGGATCAAATTTGTTTTGGTACTTGCTGAAATGTTAGTGCACAACATTTTGAGGGTCCTTCCTCTCCTTCTCTATTTCTTCTTTTCCTCCCCTTGTGGAATTTCTCATCTTAATTTTTGTTGATTCCCCTGCCCAGAAGAAGGAGCAGAAGGAGCAGAACAAGGGAAGGGAGCTCACTGCCCAGTCCATACCCCTCTCACCCAGGTAATTAATAGCTATATATAAATACCATGTCCTCTCTTGCCCTAAAATGATCCTAATTAGTTAATGATCATGGTCAGAGGGACGTCGCCGGCGGCCTGCCTACCTGTGTGGGAGGAGACGGGGCGATGGGGGCGCCGAGGGGATGACGAGGAGGAGGGGGTGTGGTTGTGATGCCTGTCGGTGGCATTGGTCTGGTAGAGAAGGCGGCAGTAGAGGCATCGGCGGAGGGACGGCGTCGACGGCGTGCCAGCCGAGGTCAACAACAGAGGATACGAGGAAGGGGTGGAGGAGACGGCGAGGTGGGGGTCGTGGTGGTGGTGGTGCGGTGGAGCTGAGGGAAGCATGAGAGGATCCGATGGCGGATGGAACTGGCGGCGGCCACCGCATCATATCGTCTCTGACGCTGCCGGCTGGCGGGCTGCAGGTTCTCCCGGCAGATTTCCCCCATTTTAGGTGGTTGGATAAGGTGGGCAAGGGCTAGGCTGAGAGGGGATAGTGGGTGTGTCTTTTTGCAAAAGTGCCACTGATTGCTTTGTGTGCGTTAGATATAGATAGAATGGTTGTGAACGAAAGATGACAGGCATATCATCATCACCACCCATGGTTTTTATAGGAGTAGAGATTTACTGTGCATCAATGGGCCGGCGTTGGAAGCACGTGTTGGACCGGCCTTTACTGTGTGCATTCTCACAGGGTGTTCGTGTTTCTTTTTCTTCCGTTTTTATGCACATTTTCATTTTTTCGATTTTAAATTTCATTTAATGTTCCTAAATATTCTAAATATATGTATTGCAAAAATGCTTTACATAAGTTATGAATAAAATGTTAATAATGCACTTGAAAATGTTAAAACGCGTAGAAAGAAAATTGATTATGTGTACTAAAAATGTTTGTTACATTAAAAAAAGGCCATATGCTTAAAAATATGTACATCACATTTAAGAAAAATGTTTGTACGATTTAGAAGTTCTAAAAATGTTTGCATAATTCGGAAAACTGTTTCATACATTCAAGAAAAATGTAGGTTACATTTCAAAACATGTTCACAAGTTTAAAAATATGTTTGTCACATTTTCAAATATATATATATATATATATATATATATATATATATATATAATGTTTGCATAATGTTAAAAAAACATGTTTTGTCCATTAAAAATGTACGCAACATTTAAAAGAAAATTAGTGTTTCAATTTTTTATGACATTTTCGAAAATATTTATACAATGTAAAAAAAAGTTCCGGTAGATTAAAAAAATCTTTATATCCATTATAAACATGTACTTGATTCATTTGAAAGATATTCACAAGTTTCCAAACGTAAATCATGGAGTTTAGAATTTTTAATTTCCACTTAAAAATGTACAACGTGTATTTTGGAGAACATGTTACTGTTTATTCCAAAAAACTGTTAAAAAACCGATAAATCATGTATTTGAAAGAAATGTTAATGTGTATTAAAAAAATTTATAGCCCGATCAAACAAAAGAAAACCGAAGAAAACGACAAATGAAAAAACAAAAGAAAATGACAAAAAAGGAAGAAAACCGAAGCACAGCGAGCGACCTACAAAAGACTGCCCCCTAATGGGCCAGCCCGATTCGCTCGCCCGTAGGCGATTCCTGTTAGGAATCGTACGGGCGAGACATAGCCCCTGCGAAGAGTGGCCCGCCTCCGTCTCGATACCGCTCTTCCCTCCTCGCAGTCGATGCCACACCCCTCACTTTTGACGTTCGTCGCCGCACCGCCATCGACGTCCTTGTTCCACTTCATCGCCTCCCTGCTCCTGTCTCCACTCCGTCGGCAAGCTGGGCATTGGTTTTCGAGGTACGAGTTTCTTGGCATTCAGATTAGTTGATCAGACCTCGCGCAACTCCACAATTTTTGGGCGTTCCGGGACAGTACTGTTCATCTAGATCCGCCCCAGGATTGGGGTGTGGCGGCGGTAGATTGGGAGTTGGGTCACAGGAGTTTGGTCAGTTGACTTGTATTTATCCTAGTAGATTGATAAGTTGCCCTAAAATCTCCATAGGTCCGATTTTAACCTATGTGCCCACCAAGTTACTGGTTACTGACTTATTCCGTTGCGTATACTATATACTCCCTCCATCCCAAAATTCTTGTCTTAGAATTTTGGGACGGAGGGAGTATACAAGTTCTTGTTTTCAGTCGTCGGCTTTGTTGTTTTGTAAGTATTGTGCAGCAAATAGTCGCTTAAGGAACATGCAAATAGCTCATATGTGTTACATTCTGATAACCATTACCAATCAAGAGGTGGTTTTACAAGTATTTTGTTGTTTGTTTGTGTCCTTCGTCTTTGTGTCGTGCGATGCAAATGGGTTGTTTTGTTAGACTTCTGTGCATGAAAGGACATTGGTGCAGAGACGGAATAAGACTTTTGATATATATAGTTCTGAATGTGTTGGCTACTGAATACTCTTGAGTTGCCACTCTGTTCCTTTAGTTTAACATGGTATCTTTGCTTTTTTGCGGGGATTATCATGGCATATTTCAGTGCTTGATGGCATGTAATTTTCATTTCCTAGTAGAATATCTACTTACTTAGTTGCAACAAAAAAGAGGGTCTGAATCTCTGTATGTGTGATATTTTTGCAAACTGGATCTTTATTTTGGGACATCACTCCACTACTGAACAATAGAACTTGTTTTCCATGCAGGATATAGCCTTTTCTTCTTGGGTTGGGTGTATCAAGATGTCTGGAAATAATTCCCAGGCCGTGGCAGACCGAATAAAGGCGCAGGCCCTATCAAATGCTAAGGGATTGAGCAGGGCTCAAGCTGAACGTGCAGCGGAAGCTGCTGCCCGCAATGTCAATGCCTATGGGCAGAAGGAAGAGGGGCCAAGCCACTGGCAAGAGAGGAAGGAGGCCAAGAGGAAGATGTATCTGATGAGCACGGAGCAGCCTGTGAGGCTAGGTGTGAGGCGAAATGCCGTACCAACTTCTTCCGCTGGTGGCCAATGTCAGAAGTGCTTCCAGCCCGGGCACTGGACGTATGAGTGCAAGAACGAACGGGTCTACATCTCGCGGCCCTCGAGGACGGAGCAGCTTAAGAACCCCAGGCTGAAGAAGAAAGTGTCGCTGCCGGCTCGCTCTCGGTTCGTGAACCCTGATCTTGAGAAGGAGATGGAGGAGGAAAGGAAGCTGACGGGAGAAAAACAGAAGGAGAAGTCTGAGAGAAGGGAGGTAAAGAGTAAGAGAAAACATCGTGCTTCGGTGTCAGACACTGACTCTGACTCCAAATCATCATCGAGTGGGTCTGAGTATTCTTCTGAAAGCGGTAGTTCAAGCTACAGTCCATTGGACTCGGAGGATAGGAAGCATCGATGCAACGCGAAGCAGAAGAAAAGAAGGCACCGAAGGGACAGCACGTCTTCATCATCCTCCTCGTTATCCAAATCTGAGTCTGAACCTGATTCTGACAATAATGGCAGCAACAAAAGGAAGAGCAAGAAGCGTGGTTACACGCGCCGAGCTTGAAGAGCCAGAGAACTTTGAGGAACCAAGGAGCAAAAACAATGGAGTTCAAAAAGAGAAGAAAATGGAGTAAGGCTACACAACATCTGTCATATTAGAGACAATTTATATCAGTAAGTAAGGAAAGATTTATCATCTACGTAAAATATCTAGAAAAATATTAGAGCTCACTCATATAAATTGTCAGAAAAAATATTTATCAACATGTTCTGCCCATATTATAACTGGCCAGCAACAGCTGCTATCTTAAGCAAAAAGAAAGAAAATGCAGCTATGAAACATAACTGAAGTTCTTTAGCCGAGTGAGTTGCAAAAAACCACATTTTAAGTTCACTTTCGGATTTGCCACCAAATTTCTTGGTCGCCCCAAAAATCTACCCGTTTTCTTACTAATTTTCTCAATAAACACTTATGACCGATTTGGGACAAATTAATCCAATTTCTGACATGTTGGGCCCGCTGGTTAGGTCCACATGGCACTAAAAGTCAACATAAACAGAGTTGACCATCAAGTTGGATGTGGGACCCACCCTTTAGAGCTTGCTACCATATTTCTTTATGTGGCATTTCTTCAAACAACTTGCACGTAGAGGGCCGGCTGTTCTTGCCGGCGAACATCAACGGTTCTTGGAGCTGAGCAAGACCGTAGCTTCATCCACGGCCACACCCTACCGTGCCCCTGCTCCCCGCCACAAAAAACGGCACCATGGCCGACATCAAGCTTCGGCCGCGCAACACCTCGGCCATGGCTAGCACAACACCGGCCAAGCGCGTCACAGAAGCAGGAAGCGAGGGGGACAGTGGCACGGTCTTCCTTGGCTGGATAAGGCCGACACAGCAGCTTACCGGTGCGGTGGCGAGAGCCGGCCATGGCGGGACCATCTATTGCTGCAGCGTGAGCTACTGCTGAGCTGTGGCCACCTCTGCTCGGCAACTGTTGGGCGAACTGGCACGGTGTGAGGGGGAGGCGCGGGGGAGAGAGAATGAGAAGACAAGAGGGGGCGTGGCTGCCGGCGACGCACCCGGCCGGAGGATTCGGCGGACCGCGCGCGAGGTGGCAGCGCTCGGTTGGGAGGAGGTGGACGAGATTTGTGGACTGGGCCCTGACAGGTGGCCCCTTCTTTTAACTTAACAGTCAACTCCGTCTATGTCGACTTTTAGTACCACGTGGACCTGATTAGCGGGCCCAACATGTCCAAAATTGGATTAATTTGTCCTAAATTAGTCACAAGTGTTTATTAAGAAAATTAGTAAGAGAACTAATAGATTTTTGGCGCGCCTAAGAAATATGGTGGCAAATCCGAAAGTAAACTTAAAATGCGGTGATTTTTTGCAATTACTCTCTTTAGCCAGACACCAGTAGCATGTATTCCTCACTGGCAAACATAAATGTAATCATCTTCTTTTCTTTCTATTAAAAAGTATGTGACAAAATAGGGAAAACTATGAAGGGAAAAATACTCCCAAACAAGGGGGAAAAGGAAGAACAACACTAGCACATGAAAGGACAAGTAGAAACAAGGGGCATGAAGTGGGTACAGTGGACTAGCTAATAACTTCAATATGGTTGAACATGTATCTGACAAGTGAGAATGTATTTGCTAGGCATATAGGCCTATGAAAATTCCGTGACTTACAAAATCTAGAAGATGAAAATATTACTCCCTTCGTTTCAAAATACATGACTCAGCTTTGTGCTAACTTTATACTAAAGTTAGCACAAAGTTGAGTCATGTATTTTGGAACGGAGGGAGTATTCGCCAAGAGCATCTTGAAAATGCACCCCAATAGCGATGCCCCAGCTAATCCACCAAGTACCGTTGACGATTGCGCAAATGCTTTGATGACCACGACGAAGCAAATGCTTCGACAACCATGACGACAAGGCGTATCATGATGGCATTGACGTCCGCGGCCATGTAAAGAGGCATGCTTTAATGAGCTTTGGGGAGCATCGCCGGTGTTGTTATGGAGCGTCTTTGAGCCGTCGGAGCATCACTGATAGAGCATCGTCATCGTCATTGTTTCAGCGGAACATCGTTCGAGCCGTCTGAGCATCACCGGTGCTGCGACGGAGCATCATCGGGGCCGTCGGAGCATCACCGGTGCTTCAATGGAACATCGTTCGGGCCACCAGAGCATCACCGGTGCTGCGACGGAGCATCGTCGGGGCCATCGGAGCATCGTCGTTGCTGCAATGGAGCATTGTTCGGGCCGTCAGAGCATCACCGATGCTGCGATGGAGCATTGTCGGGGCTGTCGGATCATCGTCGTTGCCGCTAGCATCGTTCAAGCTGTCGGAGCATCACCGGTGCTGCAAGGAAGCATCACCGGTGTTGTGGTGGAGCATTGCCGGTGTTTCAAGGATGGTCTAGTAGCGGCATTGTTGCAACCAGGCGCATGGCGAGCTCGTTGCGTTTTCATGTGAGATGGCCGGTGACGGGGCTGCCGCAACCTGGGAAACGAAGATGCTGTGCATATATCCGATGGCTGGTTGGCGTCGCCGGAGAGAGATATAACGGTATTTGGGATGGAACTATGGAAGTGATGGTCCAGAGATCAAGCGGCCCTAATCGAAGGAAATCAACGGCTGGGAAGGCGGTCTAAAAATCCCTGCCATTAGCCGGTTTACGTGTAGCAGTGGCCTAAAATTATATAGGAAGACCATCTTCCCGTAAACTTAGAAGTCGGAGGATCCCGTAAATTTTTTGCTGGTTTACGAGACTGTTGGAGGCCTTTTTTTGCCCTAACTTTCTGTAAATGAAAGTTTTTTTTTATGATACGGGAGCTATCGGAGTTGCTCTTAGTAAAGAAAGAATAATCAACTGTCACGGTTGATAAACTGATGTTAGATTTTGAAGCATGACAACGTTTAGCACGGTCCATAATCAAAGGCGATGGTCGCCTGCAGGCGTCGGCGATAACCTCCACTACAGTGATTCGGATCTCAATGGCTAGGTATAGCACCTGAAGGACTCGAGCATGGTACGTATCTGTGTTTCGCTGAGCAGCTCTTGTCCATGGGCATCGACTTCCTGACGACGTCTGGACGGTCGTGGTGTGCTCCACTACTGGAATTGCGTTGGTGTGCCTGCCAAGCTTCTCTTTTTTCTTTTGATGAAACCGTGGGATCTTGTTAGAACTGGAAAGAGAAACAAAACGAAAATTCGATATGGTTCCTGCCACCATATCGAAAATTCTGGCTACGGCATGATAGATTAAATTAAGGAAAACGTTCTCTTTAAGCCGGATGATTTTCACGTCGCGCAAACCACCTACAGCGCATGCCACGTGTCCGACTCCACACACCGTTCGCAACCAGCCAAAGCCTTATCTTTTCCTTCGTCTCCGCACCTTCTCCCCCACTCCTTCTCTTTTTCCCCTTTCCTCTACCGTCACAAGCAAGAGAAAGGGCCTGAGGCCGGCGCCACATCATGAAGCAGGAGGCCAGAGTTGGGCGCCGCTCACCGCCGGAGGTAGCTGCGTCCTCGTGGATCTTGCGACGGCGGCGGAGATGCAGTGCAGCACAAGCGGCGTTGCGACCCCGTGGAGCTCGTTAGCGGTAATGCTGCAATGGAGCGCTCGCCGGCGGCTCTTGGTGCTGCGTTGCAGCACTCGTCGGTGGGCTGTCGAGTTGCAGTGCAGCGCTCGGTGCTCCAATGGAGCTCGCCGGCGCTCTCAGTGCAGCACATGCGGTGCTGCGACCCCGTGGAGCTCGCCGGCTGCGGTGCTGCAATGGAGCTCTCGCCGCCGCCTCCCGATGTTGTGTTGCCGCCGGCGTCTGTCGAAGCTGCAGCGCTTGCCGCTCCAATGGATCTCACCGGCCGGCGCTCTCGAAGGTGCAGTGCAGCGCTCGGTGCTCCAATGGAGCTCTCGTCGGCGTCTCCCATTGCGATGTTGCAGCACTCTCGTCGGCGAGCTCGAAGTTGCAGAGCAGCAGCTCGGTGCCCCAATGGAGCGCTCGCCGGCGACTCCTAGTGCTCCAATGGAGCCTCCCCGGCGGCTCTTGGAACTGCGATGCAGCGGCTGACGGCGGCTTCGGTGTTGCAAAGTGCTTTGCCGGCGTCAGCCGTGATGCTTTTGCAGCGGCGGCCTAGACGACGATCGAAGCAGGGGTGGCTGATGCGATGCGGGGAGGAGGACATCGAATGTGCGTTGACTGTTTTTCAAGGGCTGAGATAAGACAGATCGGATGGCTGGCGACCCGGCTGATTTCTCCAGGAAATCAGCCGGTTGATTTGTAGCAGCCGCCTTAAATTAAATACATAAATAAAGAAAAGAATTCTGGCTACAGTCATCCGGAGGGAGCGTGAATAACGGGCTGGCTGTTGAAACGGAAAGTGGTGGAGGCTCTCGATCGTCTGATGAAACAGAAATTGACCGTGCCAGATCGATCCGACGTTTAGACAGAATCGGACGTCCTTCCAGTTTTATCGCACGGGAGGCGGAAGGGGTTGGAACTCCGATTCGACTCGGGGATCTGGATCAGGAATCCTTGTCAACGACTTCGAAATAAAGGCAAAGGCTGCTGCTATTTCCCTTCCAAGATCGAGGAGAATCGACGGAGATGCCAGGTGGAGGCATCCACGCTCTAGGCGACGACGCTCTGGTGCACATCTTTGTCCGCCTCCCTCTCGTCTCCGTGCTCCATTGCCGTGCCGTCTGCAAGGACTGGCGGCGTGTCACCGTCGACCGTTCCTTCCTCGCCGCCCATGCCGCCAACCGCCCACTCGAGATGATCGTCAAATCTAGTCTCCCACACTGGGCGGTGGAAGCCATCCCTCTCGACGACCCGGCGCAGTTGACGGATCGCTTTCTTTCCGACTACGCCCCCTCCGCCGAAGTCCGCAATGTGTTGTATTCTCTCGACGGCTTGCTCGTGCTGGCGCAACATCATGGCTTCTTTGTCATCTGTAACCCGACTACCAGGCAGTGGACCAACCTGCCGGAGCTGCGTCAGCAATCCTATTGCGCAGTCTTCGAGTGCGGCTTCTACTTCCACG